CTAGATAATGCTCCATACCAGGGTCATTGAGGTATTTTGCTAACTGATTTGTTGCAAATGCTATATCTGGCCATGTACAGTCTGCAATGTATCTAAGTGTACTAACCATGTTCATGTATGGTATATCAGACATTTGTTTTCTATTGTTATTAGTTTGTGATACTGTTTTTAATTGTGTACCAGGCTGTATGGGTGTTTGTACACTTTGTTCGTTTGTAAGTTTGTAACGTTCTATTATACTATTAATATAATGTGTCTGACACATCTTGATGAATCTATGCTCTCTGTTGTGTTGAATCTCTATACCAAGTAGCCAGTGTAATTTGCTACTGTCTGTATATTGTAAATGACATACAATAGATTGTTTTATCATTGTAATAGTATTATTATTCTTTGCCACAATAGTAATATTGTCAACATGTACAAATAATATGGCTACAGTTATTTCTTTCTTCTTTGTAAAGAATACAGTGTTATCATGTTCAGATTTTGTTAATCTACATTTAAGTAGTATATTAGATAGTGTTTTATACCATCTTCTACCAGCTTGTTTTAATCTGTATAGTGCTTTTTGTAATCATAATATTTGTCCATTCTGTAATCTGTCTATTAAGTTACCTGGAGGAGGTTTAACATATATTTCCTTGTCTTCCATCAATTGTCCATAGAGATATGCCAATTTTATATCTATCTGATGTATTTCATAATTATTAGATGCTGCCCATACTAATATTAATTGTGCTGTAGATAGTCTAGCAGTAGGAGCAAATAAATTGTCTGTATGATAGTCAAGACTGTCAATCTGATAGTTTCCTTGAACTACTAATTGTGCTTTATATTTTTCTATACTATTATCAGTGTATTGCTTTATTTTATAGACAAATTGTGTTCTGATAATGTTAATATTATTGTATGGATTCGTGATTTCCCATGTATTATGATTTTCTAATTGTTTTATTTTGTCTTTCATAGCTGTAATCCATGAATCACAATCCAGACATTGGATTGCTTCATAAAATGAAGTCGGATCCAATTGTATTTCACTTATTTTAGTATTAAATTCTGTTAAATGAATGGCAATATTATCTTCATCCTTTTTGCTAAGTGTATACATGCATTTTGTTATGTATTTATTCTCCATGCATTGTTCAAGCTCAATAGTACATTCTGTCAGTTTCTGTTTTTGTTCCAATCAATGTAATTTAGGTTCTACTTCTTTTTCAGTTAATTTAACTTTGTTGTCTGTTAAGTCTGTTGGTTCTGCTGCTTTTCCTTTTTTGTTAGGATCAGTGTTGTCTGTATCATTGTTGTCTGTTCTCATTATTCTATTGTCTGTTTTGTTATTTTTAATTATTAAACACTTGTTCATATCATTGTTTGTATTGTCTATTTTCTCCCCTTCAATTTGAGGAGGTTTACCTTTGAGAAATTGAATATTTTGTTCGATGGTAATTTTATTATTGTGCCAAGTTTTATAGCCTTTACTTTTATTGTCTAATCCTATCCAACAAGCAATGATACCTTACTATTGTATTTTTGTAGGATTTTTGTTGTGAATGATAATATATTGACCAAATTCATATATATTATCAATTGTTCTGTGTGTTCTGTAACGTTTGTAATGTAGGGTATTATTATAATTTAAAGCAGCACATAGTGTTCTATTATGAATATAGGTAATATGAATTGCTGCTTTGGCCCATAATGTAAACAGTAATTTAGTAGATGTTAGATATACTCTTACACCTCTAAATATAGTTTTATGTGTTCATTCTACTATTCTGTTCTGCTGTGGAGTATGATGTACTGTTAATCTTTGTTTTGTTCCTTGTGAATCTAAATATTGTTGGAAATCTTCACTAAGGAATACAGTATCATTATCACTTTGTAAAAGTTTTATTTTAACTCTGTACTGTGTAAATATTTTAGTTGTCTATCATATGTATTGTGTATATGCATTGGATTTTGTTTGTAATTTGAGCATTATGTACCAACGAGTAGAATTGTCTACAATTGTTAATAAGTAGCATATGTTCTTATATGTGTGTGGTTCAATAGGACCAATGATATCAATATGAATAAGATCTCCAAATTGATTTGCAAGAGGAGATTAATGTAGTTTTAGTATTGGTGTACGTTTGATATTTGCTTTTATACATTTAATACATTCTTTTTCTTCATAGTTTGTTATTTTAGTTGATAGTACACTTGGTTGTGTCTTTAATAATTGTTTAATATAATTGTAACTTATGTGTCTGAGGCATTTATGTATATCATAAATAGATAGTTTGTTCATTGTTTTTAATAAATGATTATTGTACAAAATATACAAGTTATTTCTCAATTGTATATGTCTGATGTATTTGTTACATAGTGATGTTATAGTACAATTATTGTTTGTAAACATAAAAGAATAACCTTCCCTACATAGTAGTGCTTGACTTATGAGGGAAAAGGTCATTTGTAGATAGTAATAGATGTTTTGTAATGTTATGACACTTTTTCTTG